TACCCAATTTTCTTGAATGGGTAGATTACCACATTTGTTTTCTCAGCTATGGGGCTCTGAAGCGCGTGCGTGGAGCTCCATGCATTCCATTTCATTCATGTGTATACATGTACCTTTCCAAAAAAAAAAAGATGAAGGCCAAACCGATTCAGAAGTGAATACAACAATGTAAATAGTGCTTCAACGATAGTGCTGATCAATGCACCTTATCCATAAAATCTGACACCTTATATAAAGAGCTGAACACATTGTTAACTTAAAATCTAGGTATCTGTGATTATCTTATAATGGAGGTTTTCCTATAAAAAATTGAAAGCAAAGCACAAACACAAAAATGTGAGGAAAGCACAATAACAAACCACTTCAGTGAATGTTTCATCTGTAGAAAACACAACATTAATACCTGTTCCCAGTAAAAAAAAAAAAATGAGATAGAGACCACAAATTTAAATGTGCCATGACAACAAAGTCAAAAAATGCCACCTAGTTCAACATGACACGCAAAGTGTGAAATCCCACCGCATACAGAACAATAAACCCATGGGATATACCATCCGATTGCATTAGTATGCATTCAGTGACCTCCATAGAATGCAATTATTTTCCCAGTTATTATTCTCATAATTTGTAGCAATTTTCTCTTTTTGATTGCAAGGTCTTTCCATACCCATTTTTATTTGTTCATAAGATTTCATCAGTGGCTGGTGTTGTTCAACCCTTTCACTTACATGTATCAAGTTTGTAATGTTTCCCTTGCTAGAATTGCCCCCTTGTCGTTTAAAGGCTGAACTGCACAGTTGGTTGTGGTGCTCCCTTTTTCTCCCCTCTATTGACTTAAAATGAATAAAATGTTTTTGTCTTCTTATATGCCAATTGCAGTTCCAAGTTTTTATTGATCCAATATTATAAGTTCTCTCAAAGGCAAAGAAAAAGCTAGGAATTTATTTAGTTATTTATTTTTTAACAAAATAATACTGAAATTAAGTCAATTTATAACAATAATGTAGATAAAATAAAAATGCCTTAATTTTTTAAGAGTTGTTTTCGAAAAAAGGTTAATAAAAAATAATTATTGATTGTAAATATTAAATGTGTATTTTCCTCTTGCAGTCTTCTCATCAACTTTGGTTGAATTTTCTAGAAGAGAAAAAAAAAGGAATTTTTCTTCTTAGGGACAGTTCTTTGTTAATAACGTCAAACAAAAAAAAGATAGAGAAGGCCAAAGACTTTTTCTCACATCACATTGACAGTGGGCACATCACATTGAAAGATTGCAGCTTAGTAATTATCGTATAAGACTAGGCTGTGCTACATGCATATAAAAAATAATTGTAGGCTGTACTATATTGCCCTGAACCTTCAAGATCCAAAGTGCCATGCAGCTTCTTTTATTTCTACGCAGAAAACTACCCTGGAAAGCAAAAGACTTGAGCTATAAGGTAAACTGCCAAAGTATAGTACACCTTTATGACGATAGTTATTTTTAACAAGGACACTATATACACTGCAAGTCTGATGCCATTAAGAGCAACAATGATGAAATTCCTTCAAACACAATAGTGACTTACAAAAAGGACTTATTATTGTTTAAAATAATACAGTGCAAAGTAAGTGTATTTTGGTCTATTTTTGCATGATCACAACTTAAATGAGCTCTAAATCAATTGGATTTCAATAATGTGATTAACTCAGGTTCTCAGTACAACTTAGTAAAAGTAGCACCTGTGTTTCCAGGTTTAAAATGCAACTTGCATGGAGATCAAGGTTTTGTCATAATTTCTAACATTATGATGTATAAAGTTAAACAAGTGCATGTATGCCGGTAAATATCATACCTTCTTTTTTCTTGGGTTTGCCCCTTTTGTTTTTCTTCTTTCTCCTTTGTGCAGTTGGGCGCTTAAATCGTTTGTGTCCATACCCCCCACAAGAAAAACACTCTAATTTCATGTCTAGGGAATTAGAATAATAATTTCAATCGGTATTAATAGCTACATCAAAGCTGCTGGATTTATAATTATTTATCGAATATTCAAATTAGACAAGTACCTTATTACCTGAGGAGGGAAGAGAGGTACTCCCTTTTAAAAGCAATATGAGTATCTTCTGCCCCAGACAGTATGGTTTTTGCACCAGCTACGTCTGAAAACCAGTATAGGCTTTGGCCTTTTTTCATGACATTATTTTAAAAAGGCCAATTTGGCATCCAAGGGAGCTACTGCATTATATGGGAGTGTATGAATGTATTTTTGTCATTTCAATTCCAAAGATAGAGTAATATGCGGAATCAAAGAGCCTTTTCAGAACTTTTGTCGTTGGCATTGTAATCCAAGCAATAATGACATTATTTTTGGCCCATGTAAACATGTGTTTGTTTTTACCTGTAGGTCTGACAGGGTGCAAAGAAAGTCAGTTTTACAGACTGCCATTCCGGCAAGCTGTAGTGAGCATGTACTAGCCCCCAAGTCATTTCAACTTGCCTCAAAACCCTTTCTGATTAGCAGGATTGATTACCATCCTTCTGTAATTTGAGTTGCCCCCAAAAAACAGCACTTGCCCATAGGGCAAGTTATATAACCACACAAATCACTAGCGCGATAGCAAAATCGACTAGCCCCGGGCTATTGGTCACGACTTTCCTTGCACGCTGTCTGAAAATGTGTATTATAGATTAAAGCCAGGGAAGGGTTGTTCCAGTTGAAGCTGAGTTAAGATAACCCAGGGAAGTTTGAACTCAGATATGCATGAGAGCCTAAAAAGTAAATTCAGTTTAATTCACTTTGCCTAAAATTTGATGATTGGATACTCTAAAAAGACTAGAGAGAATAATGAGAGAGGGTGCTTTGGATAGAAGGAAAAAGAAACCTGGGTTGAAATGTAACCCTGGGTTAACGCTAACTGGCGTTAGCACAACTGGGCCCAGCTCACAAATTGACTGTAGGAAATTTTTTTTTCTTGTTTTTAATTAAAGAATTTCTTATGTTTACACACCAAATAGAAATGAAGAAAAGAAGAAGAAGAAAAAAGAAGAAAAAAAAATTATATTCTTTGATCTGAAATAGAGTTAGGATTTGGTGAACCGGGTGTCACATCCCCACTACTAAGAATTCCCAGTTGCAACCCCACCTGTCTGTGGGCTTGTCTCTTGTCACCATCTCAATTGGGACTATGTTGTAAAGATTTACTCATTTATTTTTGTGGTTATAACTTACCAAAAAATTCCGGAGAAGGGCATATGTAAGAGGTATGGCCACGACCATCACATTTATAGCATCCTGTTAAAAAGTCAGAAATTTACTTGAAAAAAAAATACATGAGCCACATTTCATTAACTTTTCATGACATATTAATAAAATAAGAAGAAGAGCAAGAACTAAGGTTTATCAATAACCTAAAATATTCCTCTTTGCAGTTAACCTTTACATAAAGAAACATAATACTTGCCTCCCCCTCCCTGCACTTGTTTTGACATTAGCTCCAAAGATCGGCAATAGTTGATTATTGTGTTTTTCAGATATTGGTACTGAACTTCTCCTTTGTTGATATGTACACCATACTTCATTAAATAACAGATTAAAGCAAAAGACCGTGGTATTTAAGATAGGCGTTTGGGGCATATGACTCAGGTTTTGTTTTGTCTTTTACTATTATTTTTTAATAAAAGTGATTTGGTAGTATCTGCAAAAGGGTACCTTTCTTTTAATACCCCAAATCTCCCTTCCCTGTATTTAATGCAATACGGATAAATTTCGGCCAGGAACACATCAACATATTTCATGACATTTCCCCTTAATTTCTTTCAAAAAAATCTTTTCCAAATATAATATCCTGGATGAATGTGAAAATGCATTTCCGTACCTGAAGGAAGCGTTTACGCAAAAATACACGTTGTTTACAGTGTATATAACTAAAGTAACAGTAAGGCATTTTTTTCCAAACTAGACAATGTGATTGCATTTAAATACTCACTTGGTGGCGGAGGGGGTGGCGGCGTATCTCGTGGTTCAGGATCTTTATCCATGTCGTCGACTACACGCATGATTATGAAAGTGAAAGAATAAAGGAAAAGCTCATATCGTAAGTGGAAACCTTCTTATTTTCCAGTTCATTTCGAAAGGTGGTCATGTCAATATTTTTTGGTGAGATATAATCCTAGGGTTCGCTGAAAAATAGACATGGTAGCAACAAAACAGCATTTAAGGACAAAACGAGCGAGTTTAATGCTACTTACATGTCCCACTGACACTTGCTTCGTCGCTCTAAAAATAAGGGAACAAAAGTAACTACTTGTTTACCAAAAAAAAATTGGAAAAAAATAGTTTTCATCGTTCCCAAACCTAAAACGCTTTTTGTGTTTAATTTCTGCTTGCGATAAATGAGGTTATGTAAAATTATCCCTTACGTCTACTAGCTCTGTTCCGCTCCCTCTTTCTGCCATAATTTCTTCACCTCCTAAAACATTAAAAAGCAGTTCAAAATACGGTAAGGAAGAAGCAATCAGAAAATACCTTTTTGAACACAAACTATTAATATTCTGAAACAAGACCTACCCTCAAGCACAAACAAACAACTCCCAGGCTCTTGCAAGGACTATCATCACGAAAGCTTCTTCCTTTTTCCCGCCTCTTTTTCACCTTCTGCACACATTTGCAGTGGCGCGAAATTCCTGGCAACAGGGTGTTACCCTCAGGGTAGTCGGGTGGTAGGTATCTCTCTTGTGCATGTACAATGTTTTAGCCAAAGTAGGAGTAGACTCCATGCAAATGAAGTGCAAATTTCGTGTGATGTCCAGTTCTGAGTTGGCCGTAATGGCCAGCTCATTGAAGCTCATGTCCAGAAATCTCGCACGTCAAACTTCGCGCGACTTACATTCAAACTGTTTCGCAATGGTTTTAATCGCTGGTTTTTACTGTGATTCCCGGGCTCATAATGTTCGGAAAGTTCGAGTGGTCAAATACATAGTTGTTTGTGGTTAAATAAAAGCCGCTGATCAAAAATATTGCCACAACCTAAAATGGCGACGAAAACTCAAAGAAACAAGCTTTCGAACAAGAGGTTTTGGAGACAATTTAGATGATTTTTGGCCGAGATATTGTACAGCG